GGGGGGGGGGAGAGAATCAACGCAGGGGCTCCTCGCTTCTTGCTCAGCGCTGGTTTCGACTCTCGCTTGAGGTTCCGCTCAGCCAGAGGGTAGGATACGGCATGACACAACCCACCCGGACGCGCGTTTGTATGAATTTTAGAACTAGTTGTCAGTTCTTCGGAAACCCTGGTTTTTGCAGTGGCATTGAATCTATAGATCATTTTAAGGATCATAAAACTAAGCACTCTCTATTACTAAAATTGCTATCTTCTCTGTTTAACATGTTTGCACTTTATCATCTCATCGCCCGTTAGATAGCTATTATCAACACCACAACAAAAGGGCGGTGGCTTACACTGTTCCAACCTAGCACTCTGGGAGCCAAGGCGGGCGCATTGCTCAAGGTCAGGAGTCGAAAACCAGGGGCCTGAGCAAGAAAACGAGACCTGTCTATACCATAAATAGAAAGAAATTAAATTGGCACTAATAATAATATAGAAAATTAGCAGCATGGATGGACACATGCCGTAGTCCCCAGTTACTCGGGAGGCTGGGCAGAAGGATCGCTCGAGCAAGCCAGGATTTGAGGTTGATGTGAGCCGCTGACACCATGGCACTCCACTCTCAGCCTGGGCAATAATGAGACTCTGTCTCAACCAAAACACAAAAAAAAAAAAAAAGACAAAAAATAACAAATGCTGGTGAGGATGCAGAGGAAAGGGAACCTTTACAAACTGCTGGTGGGAACATAAACTAGTACCACCACTACGGAGAATAGTATGGAGATTCCTCAAAAAACTACAAATATCATAGAACTATCATATGATCCAGCAATCCCACTACTGGGCATTAATGCCTTTCAGTTAAGTTTTATAATTTTCTGTATATATGTCTTATACAACTTTTATTTATTTCTAGTTCCTTGTATTTTTGGTTCCTCTTGTACAGAAATGCAATTGACTTTTGCATATTTACCTTATATTCAATTACCCTGCTAATTCTCAAGAACTCTAACAAAATATCTAAGATTCTTTCAGATTTTCAACTTAGGCAATCATCTACAAATAATGACAGGTTTTTTTTTCCCTTTATAATTCTTACACCTTTTCTTTCTTTTTTTTTTCCTCCCTTACTCTGGTTAAGACCTCCCATAAAATGTTAAACAGAAGAGGTGATATTAGTACTTGCATCCTGTTCCTCATTTTAAAATACTTATTTCCAAAACAATTATGTTTTTTGTATATTTTCTGCAGATACTCTTTATCAGATTTAGAAAGTTTCCTTTCATTCATAGTCTAAGTGTTTTTATTTTATGAATTGGGTTTTAATTTTATTAGAGGTAATTTTTGGCTTGAAGCTTCCCAGACCATACAGGTAATATGAATTTAAACCCCTATTCACATGAAACCTGGCCTACTGTGATACGTTCCTGCTAACCCCGACAATCCCAGGATCCAGGCCAAGACAGCTTAATACCACCCTGGGTCAATGAGCAAAGTTTTTGTGGTTCACTATTCACTGAGGGTCCAGCCTTTCAAAGATCCTGCTTTTTGCAGTGGTATTGGTTCCCACTCCCTTCTCATGCAAGTCCAAGGTCTCATCTCCTGCCCCAACATGGTCGTTATAATCCAAGCCAGGGGTCCTCAAACTACGGTCCCTGGGCCACATGCAGCCCGCTGAGGACATTTATCCAGCCCTCTGAGTGTGTTTGCCACTGCTGCCTGTCCTGCTTAGCAGCTGACTCGTCCCAGGTCCACAGTGCGCACTCTCCAACGGTCTGAGGGACAGTGAACTGGCCCCCTGTTTAAAAAGTTTGAGGACCCCTGATCCAAGCCCTCCGGTTTTTGAGTCAGGCAAAGAACCCAGGGCATTGGCCAGACTCTTCTGGTTTTCAGTTACCTGACCATTTGGGGCTCCCTTAATTTTTCTCATTTTGTTAAGTCTCAGCTATGTATTTAAAAGGAGTGTTTCTTATATTTTAGCCTCTATTTCCAGATATTTTCTCATGAGAGGGTTTTCAGATCTATCATAATTATGGAAACAGAGGTATTTGAAGGTTTTTAGTCCATTTGGCACTATGTAAGTTACTGGTATACTAAGCAGAACAGTTTTGGAAAACTGGCGTAGGTAGTAGGCAAACTAGAGGGTTCAAGAGTAAATGGGTGTCAGCCGGGCGCAGTCGCTCACGCCTGTAATCCTAGCACTCTGGGAGGCTAAGGCGGGCAGATTGCTCGAGGTCAGGAGTTCGAAACCAGCCTGAGCAAGAGCGAGATCCCGTCTCTACCATAAATAGAAAGAAATTAATTGACCAACTGATATATAGAGAAAAAATTAGCCGGGCATTGTGGCTCATGCCTGCAGTCCCAGCTACTCAGGAGGCTGAGGCAGGAGGATTGCTTGAGCCCAGGAGTTTGAGGTTGCTGTGAGCTAGGCTGACGCCACAGCACTCACTCTAGCCTGGGCAACAAAGCGCGAGACTCTATCTCAAAAATAAAAATAAAAATAAACTGGTATATTTATGGTCAATTGATTTTTGACAAGGGTGCCAAGATAACTCAATGGGGAAAGAATAGTCTTTTGAACAAATGATGTTGGGACAACAGGACATCCACATGCAAAGAAAATGAAGTTGGACTCTCTACCTCACCCTATACACAAGAATTAATTCAAAAAGGATCATAGACCTAAATATAAGAGATAGAACTATAAAACTCTTGGGAAAAAATCACAGGTATAAGTCTTAGTGATCTTAGATTAGGCAATGAATTCTTAGCTATGACACCTAAAGTACATGAAACCAAAGAAAAAACAGAAAATTATACTTCATCAAAATTAAAAGCTTTTATGCATGAAAGAACACTATAAAGGAAGTTAAATGACAGCTAAATATAAGAAAACATTTTCAAATCATATATCTGATAAGAGACTTGTATTCAGAATATATAAAGAACTCTTACAACTCAATAATAAAAAGACAAACCAATTAAAAATGGGCAAAGGATTTGAACAGATATTTTTCCAAAGCTGATGTACAAATGGCCAATAAAAACATGAAAAGATGCTTACTAGTTACTAGGGAGATGCAAATCAAAATCATGAGATACCATTTCATGTCCACTAGATGGCTATAATAAAAAAGACAATAACAGGTTTTGGCAAGGAAGTAGAAAAATTAGAAACCTCATACTTTGCTGGTGTGAACATAAAATGGTGTAGCTATTTTGGAAACTGGTTTGGTAGTTCCACAAAAAGTTAAACACAGAGTTACCATGTGACCCACCAATTCTGCTCCTAGGTATTTACCCAAGAGAACCGCAATATATGTTTAGATAAAAACTTGTACATCAATGTTCATAGCAGTATTGTTCATAATAGTCCGAAATTGGAAACAAATGTCCATGAACTGATAGATAAACAAAATGTGGTCTATCCATATAAAGAAATATTATTTAGCTATAAAAAGGAATGAAGTACTGAGACACTGTAACATGGATGAGCCCTGAAAACATCGTGCTAAGTGAAAGAAAACACAAAACTCTACATGCTGTATGATTCCAGTTTATATAAAATGTTCAGAATAGGGAAATCCTTAGAGATAGAGAGTAGATTAGTGGTTGCCAGGGCCTGAGAGGAAGGGGAAGGAAGAAGGATTGCTAATGTTTTATGGGCTTTTTTGGGAAGTTGATGAAAATGTTCTGGAACTAGTGGTATGGTGGCACAACGTTGTAATTATACTAAAAACTACTGACTGGTACATTTTTAAATGGTGAATTTTATAGTATATGAATTATACTCCAATTTTAAGAAGGAATGTTAGGAGGATCGCTTGAGGCCAGGGGTTCAAGACAAGCCTGGGCAACATAGCGAGACACTGCCTCCAAAAAAGAACAAAATACCATTGCTTACATTCTATTAAGTCCTACTGACACAGCCCACTGACCGAACTGCTCCATTTCAAAGTCAAATAGGTGTAGTTTTCTGGCTGAGACAGACTGCTCCCTATTACCAAAGGATGAGCAGCTGAGCCCTGACATGGCCCCTTCCTAAAAAGCAGCTGCCTCAATCCAGTGATAAGTAGGCTGACCAAGCACCCAGGTTTACACGGGATAAGCAGCTGAGTGCTGTGACAGTCCACATGCAGTTTTAGCTTCCTAGTCCTAAACCTGGCAAAGTCCAAGGCACACTGTGGTGAGTTAGTCACTCTAGTCACCAACTGATGACTGCTTACACCATCACAGCTCTCAAGTATCTTTAAAAACTGGTACAACTGAGTTATTAGCAGGTTGGTAAGTCAGATAGGGAAGAGCAAGGAACACAAGCAGCAGCTGCTCACAGAGAGTGAAGAATACCTCAGAGATATCCAGCGGGAGATTGCCCACGTACACCTGCTTCTCCTTTCTTGAATCCTAAGAAGAAAAACAGCATTAAAAAGGCAGGTGCTGGCCGGGCGTGGTGGCTCACGCCTGTAATCCTAGCACCCTGGGAGGCCAAGGCGGGCGGATTGCTCGAGGTTAAGAGTTCGAAACTAGCCTGAGCGAGACCCTGTCTCTACTAAAAATAGAAAGAAATTAATTGACCAACCAAAAATATATACACAAAAAATTAACTGGGCATGGTGGCGCATACCTGTAGTCCCAGCTACTCGGGAGGCTGAGGCAGGAGGATTGCTTGAGCCCAGGAGTTTGAGGTTGCTGTGAGCTAGGCTGATGCCACGGCAGTGTAGCCTGGGCAACAAAGTGAGACTCTGTCTCAAAAAAAAAAAAAAAAAAAAAAAGGCAGGTGCTACTCGCAGTCAGTTACAGATAAAACTCCTTGCTCTACTCTTTCCCTCCTTCTACATTTAACTAATCTTTTAAAAAAAAAAAAAAGGCAGGTGTAAGGTTAGAGGATTCAGAGGAATTAGAACACGTGATAGTGACTCCTCTTTTTTTTTTTTTTTTGAGACAGAGTCTTACTCTGTTGCCCAGGCTAGAGTGGCGTGGCATCAGCCTAGCTCACAGCAACCTCAAACTCCTGGGCTCAAGCAATCCTCCTGCCTCAGCCTCCCAAGTAGCTGGGACTACAAGCATGCGCCACCATGCCCAGCTAATTTTTTCCATATATTTTTAGTTGTCCAGCTAATTTCTATTTTTTTTAGTAGAGACAGGGTCTCGCTCTTGCTCAGGCTGGTTTCAAACTCCTGACCTTGAGCGATCCACCCACCTCGGCCTCCCAGAATGCTAGGATTACAGATGTGAGCCACCATGCTGGGCTGGGACTCCTCTCTTTCTTTGATGTTAAAGTATTCATGCATACACACCCCTACCAACATCCCTCTCCTCACGAACACTTGATTATGCTGTACTCAGTCATTGGGCAAATACTTATCAGTGTCACAGAGCAGTCCATGCTAAGTGACGGCCATGAGTATGGGAGGTCGCTCTGTGGGGACAGAGAGTCACGGGCATACCAGGACTCCAGCACATTCAGTGAAGTATTAGGAAGTGTTTCACAACCAGTAGGGTTGTTTCCCAGTGTTAATGTTTAGCTGAGAAAGGGGAGCACAGGGAGTCAGGGGAGAGGCTGAAGAGAATCTAGGCAGAGGGAACAGCACATGCAAAAGCACAGAGTACAAAAAAGATTAGCACGTTTGGGAAACCGCATGCAGTCAGGACTGGGCCGGCTGCACACTGTGTGCAGGTGAGTGGCGGGAAAGGCAGGTGGAGCAAACTGTGCAATCACGGGAAGCTGCACCTCAGCAGTCACAGGTTATTCCACTGGCTAGGAGATGTGGGTGAAGGGTTGTAACTAGATGGGGGACAACCACAGGTCTGGGTTTTAGAAAGACCACTTTGGAGATGGTGGAGGGTACAATGGAAGAAGGTGCACATGGAACAGAAACATGGGCCTGGGAGCAGCAAATGCACCGGGAGTGAGGGCCGCATCCACCATGTGAACAGAACCGTGGTGGCTGACCGGAGGAAGAGCAGAATCTGGGTGGACCCCAAGTCTCACACTTGAACACAACCCGGGTAGCATGGGCATCATTAACCAGGATCCAAGTTACAGGCTGAGGGTCCCAGCACCAGCCAACCCCTCAGGCTACCTTACCTGGAGATTTCTGCTCCGCCAATGCTCCATTCTTCCCAAACAGGTTAGCAGCAGAGGGTTGGGAGTCACTGCTGTTCCGAGACCTGTCAAACACAGGTGTCACCATCATATCTCCCAAGCTCAGACTCCCACAAAAGGAAACACATGCCGGGCATAAGCAGAGGGACCTTGCCTAAGCCTCCACTCCCCTTCCTGAATAAGGGCATCCCTTTCCTCCTCTCAGAACCAGGTTCCGAGCCAGGAAGCCCTCCACTTAATACCTTTTCAATCACTAACAGTTATTAATAAAACGCATTTAGGATTAGGATCAATAGGCAAGAGATGCTGCAGGTTACTCTCAAGCTCTAGGCGTAGTGAGACAGGAACAGGAGAAAGAGAAGCGAGTAGAGGGAGGCTTGTTTATCAGCAAAAGGAAGGGACTTACATGGTGCAGTTGCTTTCCAACAGGATTCCCTGTAAAGTCAACCAGCCAGTGAGCGGAATGCCAGGATAATTCACCATCACATAACTACTGAATAGGTACTGTGGTAGGCAGAACAATGGACCCCTGAAGGGCTCCACTAATTCCCAGAACCTATGAATATATGGCAAGGGGGAATTAAGGTTGCTAATCAGCTGAGCCTAAAATAGAGAGATTATCTGGTTGGGCCCAATAGAATCACAGGGTCCTTAAAAGTAGAAGAGGGAGGCATAAAAGAAGGTCAGAAAAAGAGCTGTGACAACAGAAGCAAAGCCAAAGTGGTGTGATATGAAAAGGACTCAACCACTGCTGCTGGCTTTGAAGGTGGACCAAGGGCCCACAAGCCAAAGAATGAAGGCCACCTGTGGAATCTGGAAAAGACAAAGAAAAGGATTCTCCAACTAGAGCCTCCAGAAGGAATGCAGCCCTGCTGACACCTTGATTTCAGCCCAGTCAGATGTGTGTCAGACTTGTATTTACAGAGCTGTAAGATAATATATTTGTATTAAGCCACTAAAGCTGTAGTAATTTGTTATGGCAGCAAATAAGAAAAATACTACAGGTAGCATGAGCAACTTGTGGTTTTTGTGTGTGTGTGTGACAGAGTCTCACTCTGTTGCTTGGGCTAGAGTGCCGTGGCATCAGCCTAGCTCACAGCAACCTCAAACTCCTGGGCTCAAGCAATCCTTCTGCCTCAGCCTCCCAGGTATCTGGGACTATAGGCATGTGCCACCATGCCCGGCAAATTTTTTCTATTTTTAGTTGTTTTGGCTAATTTCTTTCTATTTTTAGTAGAGACGGGGTCTCACTCTTGCTCAGGCTGGTTTTGAACTCCTGAGCTCAAGCAATCCTCCCACCTCAGCCTCCCAGAGTGTTAGGATTACACGCGTGAGGCACAGCGCCTGGCCTTACTATTTTTATTTTTTTAAGAGACAGGGTCTCTATCTGTCACCCAGGCTGAAGTGTAGTAGCACAATCATAGCTCAAACTTCTTGGTTCAATCTATCCTCCTGCTTCAGCATCCTGAGTTTCTGGGATTATAGGCCATAAGCAACTTTAAAACGACACACACTTCTGCACAGTGGCGGGCCTGTGGAGAGAACAGGGCCTTTGGAGTTAAAGACAGATGCAGCTCACCTTGGGCAAGTTTTTATCTTTAAAATGGTAATCAAAACACCTATGTCATAGATCATGAAGATGAAGTGGGATCCTATATTTAAAGCCCTTGCCACATATTAATGTACTCAATATATGATAGCCATTGTGTTTATTTTTATGGATTTCATTGGCACGTTCCCACAACTCTGTGAAGTATTATCTTCCCATTTTACAGATAGGAAAACCAAAGCTCAAGGATATCAGATGATTTGCTTAAAATTATATAAGATACTGAAGCAACTCAAGCCTATGACTCCAAAGCCTTGGTTCTTCCCCTACAGATAAGAAGGCTGTCAAAGTCATTTTAAAGGGATCGTTTTCCCTTTACTTTAGGAGAAAGAGAATTTAAAATGTTAGATTTTAAAACAGTAACTCTTTTCCTCTAAATTGTTCCCAGCTGTGGGAGGAAACAAGCACTTCAGCTGCAACTAAATCTAAATAGAACTGAAAGCGGTTAAGATAATTTAAAACAATGGATAGGTATAGATGGATGAAAACCAAGAGGTTTATGAGCAAAATCAGGGATGTAGGGTGTTAGTCCCAATTCCTAGTTACCCCTGGAAAAGTTAACGGGTTTCTGGTACAGGGCAGGCACCAAGGCCTCCCAAGCAAAGGCCAAGCACAAATCTTTCCAAGATGCCTTCAAGGCCCTGCCAGGTGCTATGCTGAGCAACTAATATACACAGTCTCATTTAATCCTCACTGAAACTCTAAGAGACAGGCATTATTACCCCATTTTACAAATGAAGTCATGGAAGCTCAGAGATGATAACCTAGTAATTTGTCCAAGATCACTTCATATCTATGGTTACAAATGGAGATGGTGGTTTTCTGAACCCAAACCATATGACTCCAAAGCCCTGAGCTTCCTTCCACTCTATTGCCTAGTCTAGAGAAGTATCTTATGTGTGTTTTTAAAAAGACCTAAAGAATACATAAAGAACTCTTATAACAAAGAAAACAAACCAATTTAAAAGTGGGCAAAGGATCTGCTAGACATCTCTCCAAAGATATAAAAATGGCCAGTAAGCACATTTAAGGAAATGCAAATCACAGCCACAATAAGGCTGGCATGGTGGCTCACACCAGTAATCTCAGCACTTTGGGAGGATGAGGCAGGAGGATCACTTGAAGCCAAAAATTCAAGACCACCCTGAGCAACATAGCAAGACCCCGTCTGTACAAAAAAAAAGAAAGAAAGAAAAAGAAAAATTAGTAGGGTGTGATGGCACATGCTTATAGTCCCAGTTACTGGAAAGGCAGAAGCAGGAAAATTGCCTAAGCCCAGGAGTTTGAGCTTACAGTGAGCTATGATGATGCTACTGCACTCTAGCCCTGGCAACAGAGTCCCAAAACACCCACATGCACACAAAACAAACAAAACCCCTCAACGATACCACTTCATCTCTACCAGGATAGCCATAAACAAAAAGACAGACTAATACAAGTGTTGAAGATGTGGAGAAATGGGAACCCTCATATTGCTGGTGGGAATGTAAGATGGAGCAGCCACTTTGGAAAAGTTTCACCAGAAAGTTAAAAAGAGAATTACCAGCAATTCCACTCCTGGGTAACTACTCAAGAGAAATTCAAACATGTCCACACAAAGGCTTATTCATAAATATTAACAGCAGCATTGCTTACATTAGCCAAAAAGTGGAAACAATACAAATGTCCATCAACTGATGAATGGATAAATAAAATATGGTATATCTATCCAGTGGAATACTATTTCCTAATATAAAAAGAGCAAAGTACTGATACACACTACAACCCGGATGAATCTCAAAAATGATGCTAAAGGAAATAAGCCTGACACAAAAGGCTGCATATTGTATGATTCCACTTTTCTTATATGAAAGCCCAGAATAGACAAATCTGTATAGACAGAAAGTAGATTCGTAGCTGCCTAGAGCTGGCGAGTGGAAGAGGGGAATGAGGAAGGACTGCTAACTGACTCAAAGTTTCTTTCTGGGATGGAGATATTCTAAAATTAGAATGTGTCGTTGGTCATTCTATAAACATACCGTACTATTAATATACTAAAAGCCCTTGAAGTGTACACAACTTTTAAAAAGTGAATTTTATGGTATGTAAATGATTTTGAAATAATGCTTTTTTTAAAAAGTCCAGATGCATTTTCGAGAATGGTCGGAATGAGCACGCATTTCTCTCGCCTTCCCACCTCGCAAACCACCACCCACAGAAATGAAGCCCACGGTGGCTGTGATCGCTCCGTTTCCAAGGCTTGTATATCGGGGTTTAGAACGCGTTGCGTGAGCCCCGGCAGCACATTTAGTTTGCCAAACTAAAAGATTTCTGTCTTAGAAACTATGTTTCAACTTAGTTTTTTAAACCAAAAAGTTCTTAAACTACTTCGAAGGGAGGGGGGGCAATGGCAGAGGCGTCTTTTAACGTAAAGTGCCCTACAGCTGTGCCCAAAGCGCTAGGGACTGCGCAGGGCTGTCCCTCCCACCTGGCGCGCGCCAGCGACGGCCCTGGCGGTAACAGCGCGCCCTCCCACCCTTTCCATGGGGGGTGCAATTTCCACTGGTGCCTGCCAACGCCCCTGTCCCGCCACCCCTCGCCCTGCAGTCGGGGGTGGGGGGGAGCGCTGGAACCAGCAAGCGTACCTCCTGTACCTCCTCTCCCAGCCGGGCGGGCGCGGCCCGGCCAGCGCAGATCCTTCGCGCCTTCTCCCTCCGCGCTCCGCCTCCCCCGGGTCCCCGGGCGCGGGGCGGGGCGGCCGTCACGACCAATCCTCGGGCGGCCGCGGCTTGGGCCGGGCGGGAAGGGCCTGGTCCCCGTGGCGATGCCCCAGGGGAGTAACGGGACGAGCGCGGGAGCAAGTGACCGCTGTGCCCCCTCTACCCCCCCCCAAAGTAAAGTTTGCAAGTGGAGTGGAGGGAAGGAGCGAGGCGCGCCCGGCCCTGCGCTAGCCGAGGGGCGTCCTTCGGGCCCGAGCGGCACGTGGCGCACTCCCGCGCGCGTTTGAAGGCCCCACGCAGAGGGGCTGTTTGTGCAGCAGTGCTGGGGCTCTGTGCTCGCGGGGGCGCGGCCGGTCGGCACGTGCAGCCGCTGCCGCCCTCTCCCGGGCAGGCACCCCCGGAGCCCGCCTCCCAAGTGGCGCTCACCCCGCCGCTCCCGCTCCGGGCTGGAGGTGGCGGGGCTGGGAGGCGCCAGCCTGGGAGGGGAGGGGAGGGGCGCGCGGAGGGGATGGGCTGCCCGCCGTCCGTCCACCGGCTGTCGCGCCGCCGGGACACTCCCGCCGCCTCCGCTCCGTCCCGCTAGTCCCTGGGAGTGTGGGCAGGGCTGCAGGGGGCTTCCGTGGGCCTGGCCGCTCCCACCGCGGGAGGAAAAGCAGGGGGAAGCCCCGGCGCCCGCCGCCTCCGGAGAGCCGCAGTGCCCTCGGGCTGTGTAGGCGCTGAAGACGAGCCCGGGCGGGGCCCCGGTGCGTCGTGCCTGTCGCCGTCCGTGTCCGGAGCGGAGGCCAGCGGCCGCCCGCTCGGCGCCCCGGACCGTAGGGGCACCACCCTCCCTGGCGTGGGCGACGGCCGGCCGGGGGCGCGCGGAGCAGCCGTCACGGGGCCTCGCCGCGGCCTCCAGCGCCCCAGCCACGGGGAATGCAGTGGCCCCCGACCCCTGGTGCCTCTCCGTGTCTGGGCTGGGCCTCCTCGATCGCCTGCTCCGCGGCCACGACGCTCCTGAGCCAGACAGGCCGGGCCCCCCTCATGGCGGCAAAGTGGTTCAAGGAGTTCCCCCTGAACCTGAAGACCGTGTCCGAGCGGGCCAAGCCCGGGGGCGGGGGCGGCGGCAAACTGCGCAAGAACTCAGAGGCCGGCGGCGCCGCGGCGCCCACCCCGGGCAAAGGCCGCAAGAACTCGGCGGCCGAGCTGGGGAGCGGCAGGGCCGGCGTCGGCCCCGCTAAGGACAGCCGGCTGTCCCGGGACAGCCTGCAGGGTCTGATTCAGGCCGCCGCGGGCAAGGGTCGCAAGAACTCCCGGGCCGCCGAGGAGGAGCCCCACCGGGGCGCGACCAAGAGCTCGGGCTGCAGCACCTACATCAACAGGCTCATCAAGGTGGACACTCAGGAGAAGAATGGCAAGAGCAGCTACCCCGGCAGCAGCAGCAGCAGCAGTAGCAGCAGCTCTTCCTCCGCGTCCTCTTCCCCTTCCTCCCTGGGCCCCGAGCTGGACAAGGGCAAGACTACTAAGCAGCAAGACACGGTAAGAACACAACCTCCCTTGGACCACCTCTCAGTGGAAGGGGAGCTTAGCGAGCCTGCTACACCTCGGGCTTCCTTATACCTGAGAGAGAGTGAGGACATGCTTCCTAGGCCTTCCCCCCTACACCATTCGGTGACTCCTGAGTGGCCATTCAAAGTCATTAGACTTTTTATCTTGAAAAATCCTTATTCTGGAGGTGGGGAGCTTTGCAAAAATGTACTATTCGTTTAATTTTGTTAGCAGTTTAGAAGAGTAATTGATTGAGATATTCCTGCTTTGTTAAACTTGACCCGTTTATAGATGTGGTTTATTTTAATTTTGATATCCAGGGAAATTCCAAAGCTAGGCTTGTGTATGACTTTTATCCTTGAGCTAAAGGAATAGTAGTAACCTCTAAACCATGTAAGTATGGATTTCAAAGCTTCAGGAAATGGGTGGGCCAGCCCTCTCCACGGATTTGGAAGTTCCATCATTCTCCGCATTACCTAGTAAAGGGCTTCTTGGAGCTTCAGCAACACTCCAAGATTACTGCCCTTTCATTCATTCTGTGGACATTTGTTATGCAGCAGCCATATGGGATAAGGGGCACAGGGCACTGAGGGCTGTGGGGAATACAAAATACGACAAGGAAATGCTCTTAAGGAAATCACAGATGAGGAGAGAAGAAGGTGTTTCCTGCTGCTTACACACTGGAGGTTTTCTGGGTGCTGTCCAATGTGGGAAAGTTAAGGAGTGTGAACATGTGAAGGGCCTCTCTGATTTCACAGCCATGAGTTGGTTTGGTTTGGTTGTTTTTATTTTCTTTCCTACGTGAAAGGGAGAGACGAGCTCAAGCTGAGATTTTAGACTCCAGTCCAGGCAATCACTTCGTCACATGGGAACTTTAATTTTCTCTGGCCCTGGGCTTCAAGCCTGGTGCCTCCCTGAATGGAGCCAGGAGCCTGTGACACATACCACGCATGCCTGCATTGGGCACTTAGGCTCATTCCTGCATTCATTCTTTGCACAAATATTTACAGCGTGCCCATCCCATGCCAGGCACAGAGCAGAGAGCCGTGTAAAGACGGACGAAGCTCACATGTTACTTGGGGTCTCCCTGGCTAGATCATAAGCAGCTTGAAGCCAAGGGCTGAGTAGCATGCCTGTGTCCCTCGCTGTGCCTTGCAACTGCAGTACACCTGCCGGGCAGTCGAGAAAGATGGATTGAGTGAGTGAATGGTAATCACAGTCCTCTGCAGAGATTGCTTATTTTTATGGTTGTCACTCCTGGGTGTCTGAGGTTTCTTCGGCTGTTTCCTTCCAGGCGGAGGGTGCACATCCAAGCCGTTCCCTCTTCTTCACATCTCCCTCATTTATCTGGCAGAAATCCTTCCTGCCAGCTCCAGTGGTACTTACTGCTCCATGAACTCGTTGGAGAATGTGACCACACTGTGGGGCAAGGCCTCGAGCGTCCTCTCTGAGAAGGGTTCCTTAACCTCCGGTGTTGCCACTCTGCTGCAGAGCAGAAACATTGCACCACCTCTCCAGGCAGCTTCTAACTTGGGAAAAATAGATGCTTTCAGACACAAATTCTGACCAAAACTCTAACTGATGTATAGCCTGTGACAGTCAGTTTGCCTGTGAATTGTTGAACCTAGAACTCTCAGCACTGTTGAATCCTGACCTGTTTCTCCTTGATGAAGCCAGTCTCTTTAGAGCTGTTAGAAATTCCTTGAGGACAGGAAGTATGGCTTGCTGGCTGGCTTGCATGGCGCCTGGTGCCTAGCCAGTGCCAGGGGAGGACTGACTGACTCACTGTGACTGAGTCAGCTGATGGAGTTTAAAAAACCCAAAGCATGGGCTGTGTAAAGCCCTAGACACCGTCCACTCCCCAGTACCCGTTTCTGCTACCCTCTAACTCAGCAGATGCTTTATTGCTTGTGGAGAGAAAGGGAGGTAAAAAGAGCTTTGTGGACAAGTAAAAGAGATTAGATGAATTGTTGCAAATCAATTACACTACTCCAAAAAAATATCAGATGTTTGTCCAACTGGGATACATCATCAAGTGCAAAAGCTGTCAGGAGCTGGTTTGGATCTGCAGGCAATTTCAGTAGCCATTTGGATACCATCACCATATTGGTATGTGGAAGACCTTAGCAACTGTCCTTGTTCTTTTTACAGGTCATCATTTTAGAAGACTATGCTGACCCATATGATGCCAAACGGACAAAGGGTCAAAGAGATGCAGAGAGAGTAGGAGAGAATGATGGTTACATGGAACCCTATGATGCACAGCAGATGATAACAGGTTTGTAAGCAGATTCTGCTTAATAGGGACTGAAGTTGCACACTCAATTGGAGCTTTGTAAAATAGTAACCGGTATGTGTTTGGGGAAGAGGTTAAAAGCGATTTAACCAGATCCTGCTGACTGGAAGAAAGAGAAATTAGACCCAAAACTAATGCCAGACTATCTTCCTTTATGGTTTATCTTCCTTCCTTCAAACTAACTTCCTTTATGGTTTAGTATCCTTCAGAGTTTTAGAATTTGCAGGGGTCTTTAAGGTTTTTCTGGTTCTTTGAAATATGACATTTGTGAGTTTGTAGATCTGCTCAGAGGTCTCACTCTTGTTCAGGCTGGTCTCGAACTCCTGAGCTCAAATGATCCCCCGCCTTGGCCTCCTAGAGTGCTAGGATTACAGGCGTGAACCACCACGCCCCGTCTGAACTTGAGTTTTAAGATTGTTTATATACATTTCTTGGCCACTTTCAGAAGCTTTGACATCCTTAATGGGAATCATAAATCTATACCAAGAGACAAATAACATATTTAAGGAATTTTAAGTTGTTAGGAGATGCAAACATGGTATGATTCTCTATATTGTAGTGGAAGATTTTCTCAACGAGTTCGACAACATTAGAGAAAAAATTTAATTACTAAGGAATAATTAACAGCACTGCCATAAACCAAGCCATTCAAGGCAAACCGCCTAAAGCCAAACTCGACTAATCTTGTAACTTTTCAAGTTACAACGATTCCAATTTGTGAGTTAAACGATCACTCCGTTATTTTTGGTGTCAAACTTCTCCCATTTATTCATAGTTCTCTTAAGTTGGTGTAAATGATACTTAAATAAAAATAATATAAACTAGTTATTTAAATGTATTCATAAATTTTAAAGTAAATTATCGGTTCACCTAATCTTCCTTAAATATTCTTCCATCCGTAATGAAAAACGTAGTTTCTGAGTGCTGACTCAAGGGACCCTTGTTTGAATGTTGTGGGTTTCATGCCTGGGAGAAGAGTAATTGGTCACACATTAAAGACTTTGTTTCTTCTGTTTAAAACGGATTGAAAGGCTGTCAAGCTGAGGTTCCGCAAGTGTAGTCTCAGAAGAGCTGGGCAGAGGGTCGCGGCAGCGCCCTGGAAGGGCCAAGGCAGGCTTCAGAATGAACACGGAGCTGCAACAGGAAAGCTCGGCTCTGTTTCCTGCTTCTCTGCTTACAGAGATAAGGTGTCCCATTTGGGGAGGGTGTACCCTGGCCAGGCTGTGACCCTAACGGTCATTGGACTGTGACCCCTAATGAAATCTGTGAATGAAAGGAAGTGAAAATGAACTTAGTCAGAACTTTAAAAAATATCAGAGGCTTAAAAAGGATAGGGGAACAGATTTACTTTTACATAAAATTGAGGAAAAGGATTTTCTTTTTTTAAAAAAAAGTTAATGCTTAATTTTGATTCACCTTCATCCTTTGAGTTTATTCTGACATTTCTCTTTAGCTGAAATAGGTCGTTTATATTGTACCAGCTGTCGATTTGAGGAACCAGACTGATAGTAGGAAAAGTGCTATGTTTTTTAAACATGAATATAGCATTTTTTTTTTTTTTGAGACAGAATCTCACTCTGTTGCCCGGGCTAGAGTGCTGTGGCGTCAGCCTAGCTCACAGCAACCTCAAACTCCTGGACTCAAGCAATCCTGCTGCCTCAGCCTCCCGAGTAGCTGGAACTACAGGCATGTGCCACCATGCCCGGCTAATTTTTATGTATATATATATTTTTTTAGTTGGTCAATTAATTTCTTTCTATTTATAGTAGAAATGGGGTCTCACTCTTGCTCAGGCTGGTTTCAAACTCCTGACCTAGAGCGATCCTCTTGCCTCGGCCTCCTAGAGGGCTAGGATTACAGGCGTGAGCCACCACGCCCAGCTTGAATATAGCTTTTTAATTTTTTCTCATGATTCCCTCAAGAGTTCTGAAAGCTAGGAGACTGCAATGCTATTCCTCTTGCAACCGGGGAAAAAAACAAAAAACACAAGATCAAAGGGATTTGGACTTGCCTATGCTCACAATACTTTTTAAGAGCTGGAGCAGGAATTAGCACCCAGATCTCCCCCTCCAGGTTGAGTGGTCTGCCCAACACCACGTGTCAGGACACACTTGCAATGACGTATGCAAAAGCACTGTAAACTTCACCCGTAAGTAGGGCATCTCTCCACTCAGACTCACCAAGAACATTGTATTTAAAAGTCAAAATTGTCCAACATGTAATAAATGTGATAATAATAGCTAGCATTATCAAATTTGAGTGTTTTATTATGTTCTAGGCTCTGTTTTAAACAGTTAATGCAAATAAATTCCTTTAGGGATGCAAAATTAATATATTGAGTTGGTAAATAAATTTGAATTTATTAAAATCTAAATTATTAACTTTCTAAATTAGTGATCTTAATACACTTTGCTCTTAACTTAAAAAAAAGTATGTTAGTGGATTTTAAAGTTTCTTCATTTACAGTATATATGACAGGCCAGGTGCAATGGTTCATGCCTGTAATACAGGCTCTTTGGGAGGCCAGGCTAGGAGGATCACTTGAAGCCAGGAGTTCAAGACCAGCCTGATCACGCCTGTAATCCCAGCACCCTAGGAGGCAGAGGCAGGAGGATCGCTCAAGGTCAGGAATTCGAAACCAGCCTGAGCAAGAGTGAGACCCCATCTCTACTAAAAATAGAAAGAAATTAATTGGCCAACTAAAAATATATAGAGAAAAAATTAGCTGGGCCCAGTGGCTCACGCCTGTAGTCCCAGCTATTCTGGAGGCTGAGGCAGGAGCTGATCACCTGAGCTCAAGAGTTTGGGTGCTGTGAAGCTAGGCTTGACACCACCGGGCACTCTAGCCTGGGCAACAGAGCAGACTCTGCCTCAAAAAAAAAGACCAGCCTGAGCAACATAGTGAGACTCTGTCTCTACAAAAAAAATTTTAAAAATTAGCCAGGTGTAGTGGTGGGTGCCTATAGTCCTGGCTACTGGAGTGGCTGAAGTAGGAGTATTGCTTGAGCCCAGGAGTTCAAGGCTGCAGTGATCTGTGATGATGCCATTGCACTCCACTGGGCAACAGAGCAAGACCCTGTCTCTTAAATAAAAAAATATCACAAAAGCACATTCTCAATCAATGTAGAAGAATATTCCTCTTACTCTGGCCATAGGTTACACAGCTGGACAGAATAACAGGAAGTGCATTTATGGAAGCTAGAAATAAAATATTTGCTGCTTGGGTTTTTGTTTTTTGAACATTTTACTTTTTTATTCAGTTTGTTCGGTTGCTGTTGTCAAGCCCAAGTATGGAAATTTCCTATGTTTCTTGAGAAACATTAGGGATTTTTTTTTTTTTAGTTCATTTCAGTAGGAGATGGAGAGGGTGCTAATGAATATGCAATAACTGGATCAGTTAAATCTGTATTGCCATTTTCTGTATATTTGCTGTTTTCTACCTGTGAAATGGGAACATCATGCCTGGTTTTAACAGTATCTTGGGCATATAGAATACTGTTCGTGTGTTACTTTGTAACATCCAACAAATACTTCCTAGGGTTTTTTTACTATGTTCTATGTGCTGGCCTCTGGGCATGCAGGAGCGATCCACATGATTCCTGTCTTTGGCTCTCACAACCTAAAGGAGAACAGACCTACACCAGTAAAAAGATAATATGAAAGTGTGATAAATGCCATGGAAATGGGAGAAAAAGATCAACATCTTCACCAGGAGCAGAGGAGGAAAGGGAAGCTAAGAGGAGTTCGTGGTTTCCTATGGCCAAGTAACTGTCGGACACAAGCTCCTAGATGCCCCAAACTTTGCTTCTTAATTTTAAAGGTTAAGAATTTATTAATATATGATCACTTAAATTTATCCAAAAGATTGATAAAAAGATGTGACTATGAATACAAGGCAATATTAGCATAAACCTCTGTTTGGTTTCCTGCTAAATTAGCAGGAACATTTTAGCTAAATAGCTGAAATATTCTACATAATTTAGCATTATTATAAAAAAATATATATTTAGCAATGTGCGTTTCAGCCACCAAACTGAAATTTTAGCATTGGATGGTCATCAGAAGTTCCTCAAGATAGCTGTAAGTTGACATGAGAATTCTTCTCACAGTTGGTAGCATATAGCCATAAGTTGAAGTCTTACTAGATGCCAAACTTGCCAAATTCCTCACTAAATCCAACAACCTGTAAAGTGGTGTTTTGTTATCCAGTGTGAGAAACCTAGGTTCAGAAAGGTTAAATAACTTGTTCAGATTACACGACTGAAAAGTGGAGATACCAGGTCATTCAGCAAGCTTTGGTTTTAGCTATTGAGCCATGGTCGAAGACTGTTTTTAAAATTTATTTTTGCCTCCAAATGGTTTTTTTTTTGGTTTGTTTAAATAGTGATATCTAAAGGGAACTTCATGTTCAGGTCTCCATTAAAAATCTATTAATGGAAAAAAAAAATGAAGACTGTTTTTGATTTATTTAATTTTTTTGCTTTCCTTCTTAAATTTCAGGGTTTCTGAACTATACCTGCTTTTGTTCAGATATTTAGATTTATTCCATAAGAAAATATTAAAGTAATTTTAAATCAAAGCTTGAGCACTGATAAAGATGTGAATAAAAAAGCCCTATTTCTTTTTTATTATTTTATTTAGTTTAAAGCTACATTTTAATATCCATTTATTAATGTCTATCCAGAGGACTTGGATTGATTTCTAATTATGCTTATCTTGGTAGATAATCATTGTACTTGATTATTTACACAGTGGAGCTTAAATTATCGTTAACGGTATTGCATGGTGGAAACTTTTGAGGGGGTACATGTGATAATTTAATCATTCATATAATTTGTAAAGATTAAATCAGTATACTTGGATATTTATCACCTTAAATATTTGTCTTTTCTTTATGCTAGAACCATTCAAATTCCTCTAGCTATTTGAAATGTACAATAGATTATCGTAAACTATAGTCACCCTGCTGATCCATCACTAGGTCTTCTTT